CAGAAAAACAAATGACGAATGTTCTCCCTCATATGTGGATCCTAGCACCAAATCCCTTTAAATTCCAGGTCCTTTTAATAAGATGCTGCTGTACAGTAGTCTCTTCTGCATGAAATAACTACCATCACCATGACTATCGCTAAACATTGTCACAACAGGGCTTGTTGACAGTTGTGCTCATTCATTAAAGGAGGGCCAAGCAGGGTCATTGGACCCTTACCAGAGTATCCAGCCACTCTTCCCAGTCAACTGTAATTTGGCCCTAATCACATATGATGTCCTGGATTTGGGGAGGGCTAAAGTATACAACCTGGGGGAGGCTAGGAAGAGAAGGCGTGACACATGCTGGGTAAAGGCTTTCCAGTGCGCATACCCTCAGTTCATATATACACCTCAGCAACCCCTCAGTTATCTTGGTAAGTTAAGCTCAGTAAATTCATTAGTTCCCCAGTAAAATTTTAATCAAACATTGGCTTGACACTAGAGCCTTAAAATGGAATAAGCATTGCTTAGCATCCCCAGGAAAAGTCTCACAACAAATGGAATATCTGTTTGTTAATGCTATTATGTCTCATAATTATTTTTTAGAAAAAAAAAAAAAAGAAAATGAGAATGTAAAAGATGTTAAAAGGATATGGGAATGAAGACATTTTCCAAAATAGACAGAAAAATTCAAAAAGCCTAAGCAAGTGATGAAGGTCTGTTAAAGGATAAGACAAAAATAATATATACATAATCTTAAAATTTCTATGGTCATAGGTTAGTCAACTAGTTTAAGGAACAAAATATATATCTAGTCAAGGTTTATCTGAGAATATTTGGTTTTTTATCCAAGATTTATCTACATACCACATGCTAATTAAAAGTACAAGACGGGTCGATCTAACCTTATTGAATAACAGCCATACTTTGACACCTATACTAATGTGGTCAGAGGGACTTAAAGGACAGTTTTTGCCCCCTGCCCTCCAAGGTCGACTAAGTTCCAGGGGACTATGGAACATCTCTCAAAATGTCCCGTAACTGTGGTGAGTCACCTGTCCTCTTGTTCAGGGACACCATGGAGACCCCACGGGATCGATTTGAACCAGTGTCCAGTCTACAAGAGGAGGGTCAACTCAGAGGAAACATTTCCTCCATGCTTCCAAGTGAACCCAGACATGGTGGAGCAGGACCTTTGACTCATCTTCACATAGATGGAACTGGTAAAAGAAAAGAGCCAGGAGCTCCTCCCAAACCCATGTGACCCCTGAAGAACAGATCCTCAATCGACCTTACATGTAAAAATAAATTGATTTATTTGGGCCAACTGTATGGTCTTAAACACCCAAAAGGAAAGTATAACCAAAGAGTAAAATCATCAGTATATTTCTTTAAGAGTTCAAGGGATTACCAGGCATGGTGGCACACACCTTTAATCTCAGCACTTGGAAGGCAGAGACAGGCAGATCTTTGTGAGTTTGAGGCCAGCCTGGTCTACATAGTGAGTTCCAGGACAGCTGGGGCTACAAGGAGACCCTCTCTCAAAAAAAGAACATCTAGTTTCTAAGTATGGGCAGGGAGCAAAAGTCATCTTAAATCTTGGTCTGTAATACTGCAGTGCCCACCTGTAGCTAAAGGAGACAACCTGCTATTGTTCTAAAATGATGGAGAAATTTGTTTTCTCCCCCTATGTAGAAGCCTTTGAGAAGGAACTGACACTGATTCTAACCACTCCAACAGCTATCAAAATACCTGAAAGCAAATCCTGAATCCACCACTCTAGAGTCCAGCCTTGGCAGACAAAAGGAAAATGAGGAGGAACCAAGGGAGGGATGCTTTTGGAAGCCCTTGTCAAGAAATTCCAATGGACTCTAACATGAACATTTGAAAATTGCCCTCTTCTGACTTTTGTCTAGTTCCCTGTGTAGAACTTGTAATCCTAATTACTCTTGCCTTTACTTCTCCTTCACATCTCTTATTCACCAGTCAAGGACTTTCTTTTCCCCCTACAGATAAGAGTTATGCAATTTGGGAATCTTTTAGATTAAACCCACTGAAGGGATACCCCAATTGCCTCACCCTGAGTCCCTGTTCAGCATGGAAGCCAGAGCAGTCTTCGTCCTGGTTCCCTATTTGCAAGGTGGGTAACCTCTTCAGAGGATGGTGTGATAAGAACAGGAGGTAGGAATTGACTAGGTAGGTAGGGTAAAAAGATCCCAAAGAAAAGTAGCTGGTTTCTTCGCTAAATAAAACGCTCAATTCCTTGGGCCTCTTAGCAACATAATCCGTTCTAAAAGCCAAAAATGTCAAACGTATTTGGGAGCTTTTATCTAATCTTTAAAAGATTTTAAAGTTACTTCTTCAGAGGGGGTAATGTTAGAGTAGCCAAAAGCCCCATAAAAAATAAATAATAAATAAATAAATAAATAAAAGAACAGTACATGAAGTTATCAGAAAAAAGTGATGGGGAGCTATGAGAGGAGTTGGAGGGGAAGGAGTGGGCATGGATTTGATGACAAAACACCTTATATGCATGTATGAAATTCTCAATAAAAAAACTTTTTTAAAAAGGGGGCAGAAGTGAAGCAAATGGTTTGGCTGATCACAAGCAGCTACACCCCATGAAGTCATCCCCAGGGTGTCAAAAATGAGGTGGCATTAGTGTCTAGCAAGTATTTTCATCCCGTCCTGCAGAGGGTCTGCCAGAGAGTCGGGTACAGGTCTAGTGGCTGGGAAACCCGTCCTTGTGCCTAGGCCCATGAGAAACCGCACTGCAAAATTGGAGAACTAACTACAAGAGGTCCGAGAAGGTGGAAAAATCAGCCGGGACAGCTACTCCAGCCCAGCCCGGGATAGGAGCGCCAGTGAGGTCAGGGCCCAACACCTCCAGAGCTTCCTCCCTGCGCTCCAGGTCCCCGGTTCCATCACACAACCCGCGCGGCCGCGGCGACCTCCGGCCTGCAGGCGGCTGAGGCCGCGAAGTCAAGTCGCACGCTGGGCCACCAAGAGCTGGCCGGGGCCGGGAAGGACACGGGGACCATCCCTCCCTCAACTCGGAGGACAGGGCCAGGAGCCGTCCCCACGGGGCTGGCGGCCGCGGCAAGCCGCTCCAGGGAAGGGGAGAGCCCTCAGCTCTGCGAACTCACCTGCGGTCCGGCCCGCTCGTCCCGGCCAGGCCCGGAGCTCCGCCTTCTAGCCCGGAACTCACGGATGGCGCCGCTCCCAGCGGCCCGCGGGGCGTCGCCCCGAGACCCCGCCCACTGCCCTTCGGCTCTCTAGGAGAGCGAGGATTGGTTGAGCTCCGGCGAGATACCGGAGGAAAGAAGCCAGACATCCACAACCCGGCCGGCTGAACGAAAATGGAGACGACGCCCCCTAGCGGCAGGGAGGTTTCCCGGTGACGTAGCCACGTGCTTTTCTGGTGGAGAAAAGTCAAAGGTCATCCATGCGTTGATTCACTGAAGTGCATTAGGCATCTTCTGAGACCTACCAGGGTCGGGTGTTACAGGAACGGAAACTCCAACCCCGCACACGAAAAAGCTTCCCTTAGCAGAATCTAAATTTTTTGATAATCTAAAGCTTTATAGCCTCTTTGTTTTCATACTTTCTAGCTACATGATTTGGGGACCATTGTTTTCTTCCACATAGAGTTAATAACACCCATTTTCACAGGGATGTTGTGAGACGTATATAAAGCGCTGTGCCAGGAAGCACAGCAAGCAGAGAAATAGATGGTGAGTTTTCAAATAATTGAAACAGTGAAACCTCTGTACAAGACCCTTCTGTCTGTTACAAGTATCCACTACCTCTGTATTTTCAGTCGTTGAACTGATGTACAGTTTATCACAAAGGGAAAAGCCTCATGCCCAAGTTCCTTAATGCCCAAAGCGCCCTAGTGGCTCTGCCTTCCCAACTTCATCCCATGGAGCTCAGTCTGACAACTTTACTTACTGTTAGTAACACATACTAAAACAACTTCATAGCTCTGTACCTCTGCCTATATTTTTTCATCTACCTAGAGGGCTCTATCCATGTTTCTCTAACAAGTAACTCTGACTCATTCTTCAAATTCATGGATACTTCTTTTATAGGAAGCTTCATAGACTGTCTAAGTTCAGAGCTTTCTCTCTCTCTCTCTCTCTCTCTCTCTCTCTCTCTCTCTCTCTCTCCCTCTCTCTCTCTCTCTCCTTTTGAAACAGGGTCTCCTTGTAGCCCCAGCTGGCCTGGAATTTGCTTTGTAGACCAGACTGGCCTTGAACTCACAGAGCTCACAGAGATTTGCCTGCCTCTCCCTCCCAAGTGCTGGGACTACAGGTGTGTGCCACCACGCCCGGCAATCCTTCCTCTTTCATAGCAAGAGCCCAAAGCTAAGCCTGAGAAATATTTAGGAGACTGTGATTAGCAGAACTTCCTTATGGGGGCATTGAATATGTAGAGATCAGAATTGTCTAGAATACTAACTGGCATTTAGCCAGCCAGTCAACATTAGGGATACAAAAAGGACTGTCCTCAGGACTTTTCGGACTGATAGAGAAGCAAGCAGACCTACAAAATGTCAGCAATCAAAGAAATATAACCACAGAGAAACATCAGTCCATCCAAGAAGAGTCAGGAGTGCTCCCCAGAAGGTCAAGTCCTTAATCTGTGTCTTAGTACTGACTAGCAGCACCCTGGGGCAGAACTGGTTAAGCACAAAAGCCTTGATTTAAACTAAAATCCCAGCACATGAGGGGATCTCAAGTCAAGGCAGGGGGGATCAAGGCCAGCCTAGACTACATAGCAAGATTCTATATCAAGAAATAAAAAAAGGAACCCAAAAATTGAAATCCAATAGCCATGGGTTCAAATTCTGGTTCTGTCCGTTAAGCTCAGAAACAATACTTACAATCTTAATCTCTCTCTCTCTTCTCTCTCTCTCTCTCTCTCTCTCTCTCTCTCTCTCTCTCTGTTCTGTGTGTGTTTAAAGACATCTTCTAGCAGAAGTGATTCAGCAGGTAAAGATACTTGCCACCAAGTCTGACAAGCCCAAGTTTGAACCCCGTGACCCACGTGGTGGAAGGAGAGGATTCCTGCAACTTGTCCTCTGACCTATACACACATACACACACTCCCTGTGGCACATGTGCACCCACACATAAATCAGTAAATAGATACACGTAATAAAAATTCAAAAGACACCCTTTAGGATTGCTGTATTAAATCATCTTAATATGCATAAAGTGCTTTGCATAGCACTTGGCACTCCTCAGTGAACGCAAGTAATTGACATGTTAAGTACTTCCCAAATTTAATCTTCTTTCTGGTATGCTGTGTCCTCCTTTTTAGGCATTACTTTTGCATTAAGCCACAAAACCCGAGTGATATCTTCAAGGTTTTCCCTTTACATTACTTCCAGCTTATAGTACTTAAGTCTCATAGCTATCACTCAAAGTCAACATCATTATGTCTTTCCTGGACCACTTTAGCAGCTCCCCGACTTCCCATTGCCCCTCCAGTCCATTCCTATTCCCTTGGCCAAAGGGTCCTCCAAAACTTAACCTCCAGTTTAGCCTGTACCCTCAAGATCCCTTTTAGTTATGTCTACTCTATGCCCTCCACACTCTGGCCCTGGCCTGTCATCCTTCCCTGGCTTTTGCTTTTCAAGTCATTCCCAACACATGTGTCTTTCCATGCTTCTATACACAATGGTCCCTTAGCCTGAAATGAATATTCACCCTTCCCTTTCTACTATGCAAAATTCCAATGCATCCTGCAAGACAGTTCACAAGGCTTCCCCAGATTGCCCGCTCCTACCAAAAACCATATTGAAATACAATTGCCATTAGAACTTGAGGTAATTAGGCCAGAAGAGCGCCAAATCAATGGGTGAGATTGTATAAGAGTGAGCTCATTTCCTTCTTCCTCTCTGTCTTCCAGCATACGATGATTCAGCAAAAAGGCCTTCACCATCAGATAGACTGGAGGGTTTTTTTGATTAGTGGGTTTTTTTGGGACTTGTTCTCATGTAGTCCAGGCTGGCCTTGTACTCCCGATCTCCTTTGCCTCCACCTTCCCAGTGCTGAGATTACAGGTGTGAGCTGCTATTTTCTTGTTGGTAGGTTGGTTCTTTTGAGACAGTCTTGCTGTGTAGCAAAGCCTAGACTGGCCTTCTGGCTCAGCCACCAAAGTACTGGGATTACAGGCACGCCTCACCACATCCAGCTATTTATTAAATGAAGTTATTTTTATGTGTATGAGTATATTGCTTGCATGTATATATGTGAGTGCACTCATGTCATGCAGTGCCCACTGAAGTCAGAAGAGGGTGTCAGATCTCTCGGAACTGGAGTTACGGATGGTTGTTAGCCACCATGTGGGTGCTGGGAATTAAACCTGGGTCCTCTGCAAGAGCAGCCAGTGTTCTTAACTGCTGAAGCATCTCTCCAACCACTATTTATTTTTGAAATGGGATCTTTTTTCTTCCCCTCTTTGGTCTTTTTGAGACAGGGTCTTCCTGTAGCTCCAGCTGGCCTGAAACTATGTAGACCAGGTTGGCCTTGAACTCACAGAGATCCACCTGCCTCTGCCTCCCAGTGCTGGGATTAAAGGCGTGAATTCAAGGCCAGCCTGGCTGAGATGGGATCTTAATATGTTGGCTAACAGTTGTTAGATGCCATGTGGGTGCTGGGAATCGAACCCAGGTCCTCTGTAAGAGCAGTCAGTACTCAACCACTGAGCTATCTCTGAAGCCCCATTTTTTGTTTGTTTGTTTGTTTTTGGTCTTTTTGAGACAGTGTCTCCCTGTAGCCTGTAGCCCCAGCTGGCCTGGAACTCACTATGTAGACCAGGCTGGCCTTGAACACACAGAGATCCACCTGCCTCTGCCTCCGAGTGCTGGGACTAAAGGTGTGCACCACCACACCGGCTTGTTTTTTGTTTTTTAAGACAGGGTCTCTCTATGTAGCCCTGGCTGGCCTGAACTCCTTACGTAGACCAGGCTGGCCTGGATCTCACAGAGATCCACCAGCCTCTGCCTTCCAAGTGCTGAGATGAAAAGTGTGGGCCACCACACCCAGCAAGATTGTCTTAAACAAAGCAACACTTAAACAGCAAAAGCAAAATGACATTGAGTATGGTGATGCCTGTCTTTAATGACCTAAAACTCACTATATAGCTAAAGATAATTTCAAACCTCTGAGCCTCCTGCCTCCATCTCCCAAGGGCTGGCATTATAGGCATGTACCATCACACCTGTCTTTTTAGACATCTTGAAATTAGACCTCCCAGCCTCCAGAGCTGCGGGCCAATTAATTTCTCTTGCTCTGTTATACCTATATCTGTTATGTCAGCTCCTCTGGGAAAGCAGACCTCCCTCCAAACCATAACTTTCTGCTTCTGGGCCTGGTTATGGGTAGACTGTGAGCCACTTGAACACCATGCCTGGATCTCATCTTTCACATATTTTTAGGGCCCAGAACAACTACCTAGGCCACAGGGCCTCCTCCACCAAAAGAGATTGTCCCATATCTTCACCCCCTGGGGACGTTTTAAATAAACACTCAGAGCAGGATAACCAGAACTACAATTATGGACATGTCTCCTTGTGCCCAGACCCATTTACCTTGTAATTCCAAGAAACCTAGCTGTTAATGAGAAAAGACAGTCCCCACTAAAAACTGTATAATGTAGACTATTACAACTCAGACTCATCACCTCCCTAACTTCAGGATGAGGAGTTAAGCTCTCCACGCCCATTTCTTCATCTGAAAACCACAATACCTGCTACATAGGATTGTTCTGACAGTTCAAAACTCACTCATAGGCCAGCTTCAGGGTTGAAAAAACAATCTCAGAGAAACAATGGCCCTATCTGCAAGGTCTGTGGAAACAGATAAGGATTTGTAACAGAAACTGTATCTTCCAGTTCCAAGTGTTCCCAAGCCTGGCCATGCATCCGAAGCACCCGGAGCACCTGTTTAAAACCCATTCAAGGAGTCAGGCGTGGTGGTGCACACCTTTAGTCCAGTTCCAAGCCAGCTGGAGCTACAGGGAGACCCTGTCTCAAAAAGACAAAAAAATAAAATAAAATAAAAACAAAACCCACGAAAAACCCATTCAGGGCAGTCTATTCACTAAGTTCTTGGATCAGGTCCAGGATTCCTATGGGTTCATCTCCAAAATGATTTGCTTTGGGGAATCCTGATCATACTGGAGGCTCTCCCCATGTCATATAAATGTGTAAAATGTTTTGCTTTTCTCCCAAATGAGCCTGGAAAAAATATTTGCA